GGGAAAAACCTCTCCAGAAAAGGAGTACGTCCAAACCAGTATGTTCAGGCCAAGTTCCTGGAAGATGGGCGATCGCTTAAAAGCAACCGCTACTCTCGAACTGATTACTGTGGAGTCGGAAGTCACAGCGTCACTGTCGGCACTACAACGGCTCCATTTGCACACATGCCCTGCAGTGCGTTGTCGGCATTGCCAAGCAAGTTCCGGCACATGCTAATGGCGCTTTGCTCGAGCGATCGGATGCCGGCATCTCGCAGAACGCGCCCAAGTCGGGGGTTGTAGCGAGGGTAACTTGACCTGCCGAAAGCCATAACGGCCCGCTTGCAACCCAAGCGGGCCGTCGGCATCATGCTGTCCTGCACAAGCCCTCACCTGAGCACATGGCCCGTCAAGACACTGCCTCTTTGCTTGCGAAGATTACAGGAAGAGCTCTCCACTCGTCTCAGCCATTTCGAGACTCTGCAGTGCGCAGCCTCAAAACAGCTCGCCGGGCTGCGGCCACGGCCGGTTCTCCCTGGCAGTCACGCTCGGTGCGGCGCACGTGCACATAGAAAAGTGCCATATATGGTCGGACCGCCCGTGCTGGTAGTCCAGGTCCAGCATGTCACGAGGAAGAACTCTGGAAGATGCCGGTTACCGACTAGATGACAGGAGCTTTCAATGCCTCATGGCCTCTCTGCCTCTTCTGTGGAGACAACACACCCTTGGGCAGCCCAATGCTTCCTCTAACCTTTAAGGCTCCAATCCGCAGATTCGGAGATATTCGCAGTTTCATCCTGTTCCGGACTGCGCCCAGCTCCAAGCAGATGTGGCTTCGAAGCGCATGCAGGAGCTCCGGGGCGGGCGCCCATGCGTACCATCTGGCAGCAGTGGTCACCAATGTTTGACTTGCAGACAGGACCTTACCATATCTTACCATGCTACGCAGGGGCATAACCGCTCCTGCGAACAGGGACAAACAACTCTGAACCGCCAGAAGAGGTACAGGCACGTAGATGCCTGTGAAACCTCGCTTTTCCGAAGATGTGCAGACGTCGCGGCTTGTGTCTGCACAAGTTGCACGGCGCAGCTTCACATCTCGAGGCCCGCCTCCTCTCAGGGCCGACCTCAGACCCAAGGCAAAAAGCCTCGGATTCGTAGGCAGTTGCGTGCCTCAGGGATCACCAGACCACCTCATCGAGCATGCAAAGAGCAGAAAGGCAGGGAACCGTGTCGGCCTGAGGCCTTGCTAGCGACCTGCTGAGACCCGAGATGAGGCAACTCCTAAGTGAGAGCGGGCAGCGGGACCGATCTCTTCGAAGCTCTGCAAACTTAGCAGTTTCCTGCCCGGCTGGAAGAAGCTACCGACAATTGCAAGCGCGTAGTCTCTTTAATTCCTGGCACAAAGGCTTTCAGGAAACATCATTTGCCTGAGCAAGCTCCCACGAAAAAGTTGCAGCACACCTTGGAACGGTAAAGAGACACTAGCGGCGACGGCCCAGTGCAAGTGGGCTGTCCACAGCTTCGCAGCAAATCAAGCCCGAGAGCCTACGAAGCAGATGACGAAATGCAACTTCCAAAGACGCAGCGACGTGACGAGCTGGAGTCCACAGCACAAAGCCGCAGAGCACTGGGTTGTAGCAAGGACGCACCAAGAGGGGCCTGAGAGGCATGCAGGAGCCTGAGAGGCACGAAGCACGCGGAGAAGCAGGGATATTGCCAGGCAATGCATGTCGCAGGCCTTATGCAGTCAGTTACACAACGCAAACGATCTTACTGACGTCAAAAGCTGACAACCAGGGAGATGCAGCTTGCAGCTTATGACATCTTGGGCCACAGATCCGAGAAGGTGTTCGGAGTCGAACGGAGTCTGCCAAATCTAAGCTCCTGCGTCAAGGCTCGTCGACCTCGCCGACCCCGTCCCTCAGCCGAGTGCTCGGCAAACACATCCTGCGGAAAGACCCAAAAGCGCCGGCAGCCCGTTCAAGTCTCTGTCGCCTTGACAGCTCCAAGCACCGAAAGTCGGGGAGGACTCGGAGCTGTCTACAAGAAAACTGCATCCTCCCAGTCAAGAGCGAGGATTGCCAGGAGACGTCCAAGCTGCCGCTTTATAAGCAACCCGGCGGTAGGCGGTAGGGCCATCCTCCAGGCTCGCAGTCCGCTCCGAGTCTTAGGAGCCGACCGAAGGGCCACAACCTATGGGCAATTTGGTTTAGGGTTTTAGGGTTTTAGGGTTTAGGGTTCAGGGTTTTAGGGTTTAGGGTTTAGGGTTTAGGGTTGGGCCATTTCTCTGCGCTCGTAGGACGAAGCTGGGCAGATGTGCCCTCGTGTCGATGACCGGAGTTGCCTTCCGGCAATTGCATCGCAGAGCAAGCGGGCCCTTCAGCACGAGGGCCATCATGACAACGCTGAGGACGGCGACGGCAGGCTCATGAGCTATGCCCTCTGCACTGACCCTAAACCTCAACCCACAAAACAGTTTTCCAGACTTTTGCGTGCCTCCTCACACCCCTTGCATCGTGTGAGAGCCTTAGCCCTATGACTTATGCGAGGTCGATGATTTTGGGGACCCTCAGTAGAAAACAATTCAGAAGAAGCCCAAGCAGAGCTTCTTCGGAGCACCAGGGCCCAGGTAGCTCAGAAGTCCAGCTAGAGCCAGGAGGCCCTCAAGACCCCCCCTTTCTCCCTGCCTTTGGAACCGTCTTTCGAAGCTTCCGAGGCCAGACTCAGAGGCCCGAGATCTCAGAACCGGGGCCCTTTGAGGAGCGATCCAAGGATTTTAGGGTTTTTTTTTGTGGGGTTTACAGGGTTTCGGGTTCGCAGATTACAGGGTTTACAGGGTTTAGGGTTAGCAGACTCAGAGTTGGCAGTCCGACGCCTTCTCCCCGAGCTGCTCGTATGCCCTTGGGGCAGCGCGGCGTCTCTGAGGCGTCGGGTGCTTCAGGGGAGCCGGGATGAAGGAGAGCAAGCTAAGCGGCTATACCACACCGAAGAGCCTGGGGTTTGGAGGCGGTCCTACGTGATCCTAGCAGGCTTCATCAACCTCCCCGGCTCCTCATGAATCCATGAGTCGACTGCGGCGTGCCAGATTCCAATGGGACAATGGTTCCGGAAGGTTCCAAGCTTGCAGCCCAAGCTGGATGACAGGGACATGCGTCATCTTCGCTTGCCTTCCTGCCCCGGAGCCAAGACATCCGAGCCTTCCAGCAACAAAGGACCTTCAACTTTCGAGACAAGCAGCCGACGAGGGTCTGATGATGACCCATGCTGTCCATGCGCTGCGGCCCCAACATGCCCGGAGCCGTGCAGCCAGCACCCATAGTTGGGAGGTCACCAGGCTCACGCGAGCTAGGGCCGTCCCGGCCCTCCGGATTGCAGAACTGAGACTCCAAAGCTTCAAAGAAGCTCCCTTCCCCGTTCCGCTCCCTTCCGGCCAGCTTGACGTCAACGAGGACCAAGGCGCTAATCTAAGGGGCTAAGGCTAAGGGCGAAACGGAAGGGTGTGCAGTGCATGCGAGGCACATCAAGGCCTCACCTGGTGTGGCCAGAGCCCCAGCTTCCTCTGCAGCAGGCAGCCCATCCAGGACAGCAGAGGCACCGAGCCGGCAGGTGGAACCGGCATGGCTGACAGACCAATGAAACTGCCAGAAATGAGAACAGTGACAGTGAGATTTATAAGATTAAGAGCAAGACTAAGACTGCTGATAATTGCTCTAAGTACAATGTCCCAGGCACCGGATCCCCATCGATCAGGCCAAGCCACGCTAGCAACAAGTACAGCCTCATGACGAGCTTCCGCTGCGGCCAACAATAATCATGATACTGATGATACCGGTAAGGATAATGATCATGGTCATGATAAACACCACTGACAGGGTCTAGCTGCTTGAGCTCGGAAGCAGGAGCTCGGTTTTGGGGGTTCGAGGCTTTGGGCTTTGAGTTCCACCAGGCATTTAGGGCCATTTAGGGTCTGAGGGTTTCAGGACTTCAGGGAGCAAAGCCCATCACTCTCAGCCCCTCTTTTGCTGCTGCTTTGGATTGCTTGCCTCGAGCTTCGAACGGTGCATTATCCCAGGAGGACACCTCTTCCAACCTCCTGAAGTCCTATGTACACAGCGAGAAGCCCTCCGCACCTCAGCAGGACCAGCTGTCCGGCCTGCGAGTCGTCGTATGCCCGGTTGGGATACTTCCGGCAGTATATACCTCAACTGAAAACACCAATTCCTAGCGCATTAACATCAAATCAAGGTACTCACCAGAAGGTACGTACCTCACACACTTTGTCGCTGCGATGTCAACGGAAAAAGCCGCTACCCACAAGCCTTTGCCTGCGCAACAAGGGGCCCTCCAAAGCCAGCGCCACGCTGAGCCCCCCCAGCCACGTGGCTCTCCCAAAGCTTGCGGTTCACTCCGTGATGGCGCCAAGGCTTCAAAGGCCCTGTTCAGTGAAGGATGTGAGGACTTGGATGCTCAGAGTTCGGTATCTCGAAACGCCTACATCAGCAGCACCCTCCCGGCCAACCTTTGCCTCTGCCAGCCTCGGCCAGGTCCAGAGGGCAGGAGGCCAACAGTGAGTATCAGCTCAGCTGATTCAGTCGTTAAAGCATTCTTCACCGTGGACTGGGCAGGCCAAGTCCCGTGAATGTTCGACCAGCAATGCTGGTGATCACAGAGCTACTACCTGCATCCATCCACGAATGATTCGTCCCCCATTCTCAGGTTCCTGCCCTCGCGGAGATCGTACACCATCAGATCTACCCAGCAGCCAGAACATCCACGGGCAGCCAGCCGCCCTCGCGCAAAAATTTGTCCAGAAGCCAGCCCCACATGTCGTCGCAGCGATGGGCATTGGTCTCCTCTGGTGGGGCGCGGGTGCCTCGTTGAACACGGATCTGCATTCTCTTGGTTACTGTCAGGTAGCCACCCTCTTTTTCCACCGCCGTTCCGGCGTACTCTGAGATAACATACATCAAAGGTGTAGGGTCATCCTTGTCCTCCAACGTGTCCCTCCAGACTCTCATCTAGAGCTCGAGTGATGCTTGCAAGTCGTGAGTCATAGCCGACTGGGTCTTCTTTCCATTGATCGCCAGGATGATGTCTCCCCTTTTCAGGGTGTGGTCCTATTTCTCCGAAACACAAAGGAGGCGTAGGGCGAAATGAGCAAAAGCGCTTTCCTTTACATGATGAACTATGCAACATGTTGCAATGTCATGCTTCCGCTCCTGAACTCAGCATTTTGATGCAGTCCTGCAACTTCAGGTCCTGCGCCACCGTCGTTGTTGCTGCTGCTGCCGCCACTTTCCGCGTTGTCGTATCTGGAGCACCCTTGGTTGCGAGATCCAGGCTTTGGGGTGTCGGGCTGAGGGCTAACGGAGCACTGAGCGCCACGGTAGTACAGGCGTCCTGCAAAGGAGGCTAAGTGTTTTCCATGGATCTTCACATCTATGCAGGACACACACAACGATCAGAACAATTGATGACAAAAAGCTTCGGATACACTGGGCTCCACCGCTATCACGCGGGAGGGTCAGGAAGAAATGTCAAACGGTCAGCTGGGGTACTAGTCTGAAAAACTGCCATGCTTGCAACTCGTCTACTCTTGCAAGATCCTAGCCGTAGCCGTTTTCGAAGCCGAATAACTATGCCAAATGATCTGTCGTAAGCTTGACTTGGTGATTCCACCAAATAGCCCCGGATGCTCGCAAATCGCCCTCTACCTGCCGCCCTGGATCATGGCAAACTGCTGAGCACGCCGCACATGATTGGGGTAGTTCAGGCGATGCCCCAGCCCGTGCAAATTCCAGGACCAGTGCAGAGACACCACCTGCGGAATCTTGCAAGCAAGTGAGCGAAGGGGGGATTCCGGGCCGAGTCATGCTGCCAGTGACCACGACCACGATCATCATCACAGTGTTCATGCACGTTGATGCTGTATGTTGGTGATGAGGAGGAGGAGGAGGACGAGGACGATGACGGTGCAAATGCTGCTGATGGGCAGATGATGGTGGTGACGATGATGACTTTACCGATGATGGCAGGGATGACCACAACGACGATACTGGTGGCGGTGGTGGCGGTGGTGGTGGTGCTGCTGCTGCTGCTGGTGGCGAGGGGGGTGGTGACGACGAGGGTGGCGAGGACGCCAGTGGCGCTGGTGTCGGTGGCTGGTGGAGGCAATGGCATCAGCGACGATAATGTTGACATCACCATACCATTCCAACCATCTTCACCTGCTTCTTTTTTGCTTCGCCAATCACGAGCAACGCAACATGTGTCTTCCGTACACTCTGCGAGTTCATATCGCCATCCACAGCCGGCAACAAACTAGCCGCTGCATCAGCTGTAGCACCACAACAACCAAGTGAGTAGTGCGAAAGAATTCTCCAGGCCCGGTCAGGATGTGTGTTGGTGTTCACTCCTGTCCAACTCTATTGCTTTATTTGCTGATACATACATTCACATTTACATATCTGCAAACATGCATGCATAACTCCGTACCATGCATACATGCATGCATGCAGACATGCCTACATGCACACATGCATACATACACACATTCATTCGTTCATTCATACATACATATTAACATACATACTAGTACACCTACATACATACGTACCTACGTATATACGTTTAGGGTTTAGGTAGACCTTCGTCAACTCGACAAGGTCCTTGGGCCAATCCTTCTGCAATGCCTGCTAAGCCTGAAGCCGTTAAAGCCTAAACCGAGCACAGAGATCGGAGGTGTCTTTGGGCCGGGCATTGCCCTCCACAGCTGCATGAAGAGGAAAGCGGAAGTTGAAGAACCTTGCCGGCCACCAGGTCCCTTCATGGCCCAAACACCCAAGCATAAACCCCACTGGGTTTTCTGCCGAAGTTGGAGTTTCGGGATGAGGGCCCAGGAGGTTTACGGCTTCGGGATTTAGGGTTTAGGGTCCTAGGGTTCAAGTCGTACTCCGTACCATGTACCGGTCGCAGGATATTCGAAATTGAACCCTCAGCCCCTTGACCCCTCAACCCGAACAATCAGGACCACTCCCACCCTCTAGACCCGAATAGCCTAACCTAAGCAACCAAACCCAAGGGCCAAGGCTCCCCCAGAACCCTAAAGCCCTCAACCACAAACCCCAAAGCCCCCCCCCACCCAAGAAGAACCCAACCCTAAAACCGCGCTTCAGATCTCGAGCGAAGGAAGCGGGCAAACCCTACTCCCTAAACTTCCGAAGGGCTTCAGAGGCCTGCCTCCGCGGACAACGCTCGGGCTTCCAAGCGGCCCAAGATCTGCCAAAAGGGCCAAACCTCTCTTCGGGTATTTAGGGTTTGGCGTTTAGGGCCTAGGGTTTAAGGCCTATAAGTTTTATAGGGATACGGATTTTGGGTTTAGGGTTTGAGGTTCAAGTTTTGGTGTAGGGTTGAAGGTTGAGGGTTGAGGTCGGAGGGGGTGGGGGATGTTGAAATAGGGCAGGGGGGGAAGGGGGGCGGGTTCAGGTTTGGTGTTGGGAGGGTTTTGTGCTTGGGAATTGTGCAGGGTTTCTGGCGCGGGTTTTGAATGAGTTTTATCGGCGCTTATGGCCAAGAGGAGTTGAACCTTCACGGCTTCAGTGGTCCGAAGCAAGCACATCGCAGGTTAAAGAGCTGGCAGTTTCAAGTCGTGGGTGCATTCGTGCGTGCGGGTGCGTGCTAGACACAGGATTTTTCAGCATGTTTTGCCGGGCACGCTCTCAGGCGACCTGCTTCTCCCTCTTCAGCCAACTGATCTTATTATTACAGTGCCAGCCGCCATCACAGTTTTTCCGCCGTGCAACTGTAGTGAATCACTACAGTTAAACTGATGAAGATTTGGCATAGACCTTGAAGCCCGACTTGGCGTAGCACTTTCGGGCCGGCTCGTTCGTCTCCAAACTTCACTTTCGAGATAGAAGCCCCCAGATTCCGAGCGCGCTTGCTGACGATTTCTCACTGCAAGGTGGACAGGCCTCATCAAGGAAAGGGGCTAGGCGGCCTGCTTCTATCTCGAAAGTGAAGTAGTCTGTGTTGGAGACGAACGAGCCGGCCCGAAAGTGCTATGCCAAGTCGATAGACCTTGAAGCCCGACTTGGCACAGCACTTTCGGGCCGGCTCGCTCGTCTCCAACACAGACAACCTCAGTTTCGAGATAGAAGCTCCCAGATTCCGAGCGCGCTGCTCGGCAGCTTCGATCAACATTCTTTGCCCTGCTCACAACCCCCAGGAAGCTAAGCTTATATCAACGCAGCAAGCTTGCAGCCCGGGGGGGCTGAAGCAGTGCACTCTTCAAACACGACCAGGCTGTGTCTCCTTAGCAACAATAACAGCAAAATGATCACAAACATGAAAAAGTATCTGCATACAGACCACGCCGTATGACTGCCGAATGTGCCCCCGGGTTTGGATTTTGATGTCCATACTAACTTGCCTGCTGAGATACTGCGGGGCTTCAACGAGCACGTTGTCCTCCCTTCTATCTATCTTTGACTCGTCCTCGTCGTAAGCCCATTCCCACTGGGCGAAACGGCTCCTTGTTGCGGCGCCAGGACGGATGCAACTCGGGGTTGGCGAAGCTAGCTTTCGCTTTCTTTCAGGAGGCTTGTGCCCCAGCGGGCAGCCCGCTGGATAAGGTAGTCGGCCACTTCCAGGTGACCCTTCTCGACTGCGAAAACCAAAGCCGTCTTCCTGGCATTATCTCTGTAGCTGATCTCAAAGCCAAGATTAAGCAGGAACTTCACAACCGCCATGTTGCCGCGCGCTGCGGCATGAAAGAGGGGTGTCTGTCCATGGACATCCTCCTCCTCCAGGTTCACGCCCATGGCCACACACTGCTGCGCTAAAAGTTCGGAACCTCGACGGCGTCGTGCCGCTAAAAAAAAACAGAAAGTTTTGGTTCAGAGCCGAATGGCGCCACGACATGTCTGCTGTTGACAATACCTTCTTGGCCTCCGCATACTCCCCATTTCGGACTATCTCGAAGAGCCGGTCTCGGTTTTCACGTTTGACACGTCGGCTTGTTCCGTCATTGCGACGAGTCGCACCTCTTGGTGGATGCCGGGCCAATTTTGAGCCCGAGCATCTTGCGAAGAAGACCGGGTGAGTAGAGACATGGCATGCCATCTGCCTAAACTTGAATGTGGAGCGCCCAGTTCTCAGCTGGTGGATCATGGGAGACATTCCGGGTTGCAACGCCTAAAACGAAGACACAGCCTCAAAATGGGTACTACATGGGTCAGCAAACCCGAGATGAAGACGTAATCAAGATGAAGATTAACTAAGGCTGCGGCCGACTGCATCTGGTGGTCATCAAGAAAGGCCTTGTGGACCTGAGGCGAATGCTGGATCGGGATCAACGCTGAGCAAGCAACGATTGTCAGTTTAAACCTCTGCCTCCTACCCCGCCCTCCACTGGAATAGATGATGATGCAAATTCTAGTTTCAGGCACAGACTCCCTGCAGGTTTTAGGAGTTTGGGGTATAGATAGCTCAGCCATACTCTCAGGAACAAACCAACCTCTTCACGCCTAAACTCCTAAAACCCACTAAGCTCCCTGCACCAAAGGACGAGAAGGGGGATGAACTGTCCTCTGTGGTGAGGATGGTCCGCGGGACCTTCTTGGTATTGGCCGCCTCTTTGCGTCCGAAATAAGTCTCCTGAGCTCTTCTTGGAGGCGGCCCTTTTGCTGAAGCTTTTGTCCAAGGCTCTTTTCCATTAGCCAGGTTAGCCTAAAGACTTCCCACAGGGAGGATCCATTTGGCGAGACGCAGGGTTTAGGGTTTAGGCTACAACTTAGGGT